TATTAAGCTAAAGTTGGGAAATAAATTTTGCCCTGGAAAAAAGTTGAACTACTAGTTTAAACCCACTCACCCTTTTTCACACCACACTTTTTTGCTTATTTGCGATACAATTTATTTATATTGGTTCGCAGTTTTTAAAGAAAAGTGTACACCAAGTAGAAAGCTTATAAAACGAAGAAGTTATGGAATATGTCATCTCTATCGTGACTTTTTCATCGGTTGCAAATGTAGTTTGTTTATAAATCTTAATTTTAGCATTTTTTGAAAATTTGTGTTTTTGCACAATTAAATTGAAAGTTACAGACGGTTCGTTGACTTCTTAAAGGAAATTTAACGCTCTTTTAATGTTTTTTTTTCTTTTATCAAAAATGAAAATACAAGAGCTACGAGTAAATTTATAACTAAAACTGTAGGTATTAGAAAAAAAACTGTCCAATATCTGCGAAAGGTTCGAGAATTGGGCTGTGGTTTTAGTGGTAGAGACCTGACGAACTTTGTCCTCCAAGTAGCGAATCACCCTGTCTCTATAACTGGTTTACGTTAGTCTCTTAATACATCAAAAAATTCGGAATGATTTTTCATAATCCCAGCCATATAAGGCGTAACAAAGTAGCGGCAAACTGAGGTGAACAGTCTGAATTTCACAGGAAGATAGAATTTTGGGAAATTAAGTGTCAAAAATTCGGAGCCCGTTTCGTTGTACATTTTCCTTGGTGAAATCGTATTTGAAAGATAGACGTGAGGATAACGTTACACTCCTTTACAATTTCAAACTGTTTTATTTAAAAACCATCGAACTTTAGTGGCCAGAAACAGACTGCTCTTCTAAAGACCATGATCTTCGATTAAACAATAAATTCCTTTGAAGACAGTAGTACTCCAAATATTTTTTGTTCCTTTGGAGGCTGGGAACGTTGTCAGTAATAAGCTAAAGCAGCTTGCAAATCATTTAAAAATAATGAGAATAAAAGTGGACTTAGAACACAGCCTTGCCTTAGTCCGCAGTTGTCAAATTCAGCGAAGAAATTCATGAGCAATTAAGATCTAGCTTACATTTTTATACTATAAGAAACTGTACCTAGATGATTTTAAAATGCTTAATATAAATAATTAAAGACGAGACGAAGGGTTTGTCTTGGTCGAATTAAGATGGTCATTCCAAATCACAGATTTGCTTTGTCTCCTCTCACCTCAACCTTTTCTGTCTAGAGAAAATTTAATATGTACTTTATGCCATGACCTCATTAAAGAAGACATAGTGCATTTTATTGCAAATCGGAGATTCTGCTTCTGCATTTAAATTTTGCTAAATTAAATAAGTAAGATATTAGTAATTAATTTATAGAATTGTTACTTAACGTTCAGAAAATTCAATTTTTGCATATTTAAAATTTTGGATTCTAAATTGCTTGCCCCCAATAATTTGTAGAAAAGATGTTTAGATGTTAGTTGGTAATTTATGTACAATAATTATTAAAATTTACGCTATTGGGTTTATGCAAAAATAATTCAGGTTTTGAAAAGGCAATCGAAACTATTTTTATTTTTTATAAAATAAAGAAGTTTTTTGGAAATATTTTCCATCAAAATCTTTTTTTGACACAATAAAGCCTTGACTTCACTGCGTTCTCTGATCATTTATGCAATAAAAAATGATCAAAATGCCTAAAAAAGTGGTTAGGAAAAATAATAAAAATTCAATTAACTAAACATTACAAATAATTTTATCAGCTTCTATTAATTATATAAATACTCAATTAATTATACACAATTTTTTTCGAAATGAAAAATTTGTGTCACAGGCGGGATTCGAACCCACGACTTTCGGCTCTATACAGAGAGCATGTAGGCGGATCTGAAAAAGGGTAGGAAAGCGACGACCCCCTGGTCAGTTCATGTGGTTAGAGCAGCGGCTTAACGAGTCGAAGGTCGTGGGTTCGAATCCCGCCTGTGACACAAATTTTTCATTTCGAAAAAAAAATTGTGTATAATTCATTGAGTATTACAAAGAATTATTTCAATTAATTATCCTTTTTATCTCGGGTTTTTGGTTGAGATGAAAAATTTGTGTCAAGAGCGGGATTCGAACCCACGACCTTCGACTCGTTAAGCCACTGCTCTAACACATGAGCTGACCAGGGGGTCGTCGCTTTCCTACCCTTTTTCAAATCCGCCTACATGCTCTCTGTATAGAGCCATGGCGTGGCACGCCTCTGGTATGTGGTACCAACCCTTCTCTGCATAACGAAAACCTTCGCGGGCTTTGGCCTAAAGGCAGGTACCCTGTGTCAACCGCGTATGGCCAATCCTCAATCGGGTGAGAACGATCCCTCGCTTCCGGCTCAGGTTCTCTAAAGGTCATCTGCCTGTCGTGTTCTTGACTCTCGGACGACCCCGCCCAATGTCGCTGCCATGTTTCTTTTATCGTGTTTTTCACTGTGAGCTTGTGTGGATCTGATCGCGATGGCCCGGTCTTGGCTTTTGGCCCTAGTACCACCATTCGTTACCCTACAGGCCGACGGTAATATTATTGTTCAATTAATTAAGGTTTTTAGTTGAGATCAAAAAAGTCAGTGTCACGAGCGGGATTCGAACCCACGATCTTCGGCTAGAAACGCCGGTTCTCTACTACTTGAGCTATCGTGACCTCGATCCACTCGGACACTAACTTCTCATCTCAGCCTCACCTTTTGAATTTTCTCTCCTTTTTGAGAGGGGGTTGAGATGGGAAGTTAGTGTCCGAGTGGATCGAGGTCACGATAGCTCAAGTGGTGGAGCAGCGGCGTATCTAGCCGAAGGTCGTGGGTTCGAATCCCGCTCGTGACACTGACTTTTTTATCTCAACTAAAAACCTTAATTAATTGAAAGATATTAATTGGTCAAGTGGACCACGAAACTAGTGAATTATTATTATTAATAAAGATAATAATTGTCATTTATACATTTTAATAGAACCTGATTAAAATATAATTAAGAGCTATTTTTCATTATATTTTTATCCATTTTCAAATTTCACATACTTGGAAGTATAAGAAGATTTAGACTGCTTGCAGGCTGGTCCGCTAATTCTCGCTATACCAATAATATTAAAATGAATTAGGATTTGTTAGAATGGATCTTGAAAATGCAAACTGATTATAGCCAGGATAGGAATAAAAGAACATGATTTTTTTTTAATGGACAGATTATTTATTTACAAATTCCTTGTACATTGACCTTATATTAAAAAAATAACACAAAAATCATTCAATTGACCCTAGTTTTATTTACAAAATTATAAACGAAATTGTCGAACATTTTTCTGAAGCCAGGTCGAACGGTTTACACTTGCTGGCATAAATGGCACAAAATTACGAAAATTACCCTTCTCGTTATTTTAAGTTTTAAGTACTTCGATTTTTTTGTTCAAATGTAAGGCTAGAGAAAGAAACGTTGAAATAAATAGCCCGGTATGTATTTTATGTACAGTCCTTACCCTTATAAATAAAATTGTGCAACGTGCTAATTTTATAGAAATTAACATGCATATTTTTTCCTTATAAAACTTTGTTTCACTTAAAAAGTAATGTCTTAGGTTATTGTTAAAATGGCGTTTTGTTTTTCTTTTCGAAAATTACTTTCCCTTTAACCATATTACGTTTAATACGACAAGAAATCAATTCTATTTGGTCAAATTTTCGGTCGGTCCAACATTTAAACTGCAGGACAGTCTTTGGTACATAAATACAAGACATACATCATCACTTTCACTATAAAAATATGATTTTTACTACGTGCGATTTCTAGTGTAGAAAGAAAAATTGTGAATTGAAATTTCCTTTTATTTTCTTTCCTCCTGTAAATTAAGATAAATAGACGCCATTAGAGCAATGTACATATGTACAATAATAATACAATAATAATATAAAAAGAAAAAAAAACAACATGGAAAAAACACAAATAAATATAAAAAAAAGTAGTATTTTCACATTTGATTTTGTAAATAAATAGGCACCAATGATTAACACATTCAAAGCCTGTGATGCATTTTGTCGGTAGAATAGTAAAAAAACTTATATAGTATTTTTTTAGTTATTCTGAACGATAATGGATAATTAACATTATTTCTTAGACAAATACAAAATTAAAATTAAATAAGAAGAAAGATTGTTCGGGTGCATCTCAATTAGAAACACTAGTTTTTTTAACCTTTTTATTCACCCTGTGATGTTCGGTGTTTGGGCAAACTTCGGTGTATGGATTTCCGTCAGTAAAGATCACAGATTTCTGAAAAATTAGCTTAAAATAAGGGAAAATAGAAAAGTAAAAAGTTCGTCGCAAGCTTCTCTCTTCTCGTGGGCTCAACTTGACAACTAAACACTAACATATTTGCTTTAAATGCAAAATTGGATTTACAATTACAGAACAAATCAATCAAATAGTCAAATAGTTTAAATATTTTATTTTTTTCATATAGTTTCTTGCCTGAGATTCTTGAATTTTGAGGCTGAAGATAGTGTAAAAATCTAATCCTGTCCATCCTTTAACATCCTGACGTCCTATACGTCCTACATGAGGCACTGATGTAGCCATCGCAATAGCTGAGTAAAAATTCTGATTTAAGAAATATTTTTGTTATTTTCATCAGCCATTACTGAGGAAATCAAGCCTTTTTTTTAAAGGACATATTTTCTGAACCATCTAGAGACTATTTCAGCTAAATCTACCAGGTACATGCGTTCAGATTCAGTATGAGATTTTTGTGTGTTAAATATTAATTATTGGTGCCTTCTTTTATCATTCATCACAAAAAAAAGTAAGAAAAAACAAAAACACAATACAGAAAATATATATACTAGAGTATAGACTGTCACGTATACGTAAAAATTGTCATTAGCACTTAAAAAAAAATATAAATAAGAAAAGAAAAAATATATCAAACTAGCCTTAAAACACAGTTAATGTATGTGGGAATAAATTAAAACAAATATACAAAATTATCACTAGAGCGTACTGTGATGTCACGCGTTTTCCGGTGACGAGCCTTTCATGAGAAGTTCGCCGGCTTTTTGCTCCCACTCTTTGCTGTTCTCTTTGACTTTTCGCGTATTGTCCAGGACTATTGAGTCCGGCTGACCGTAGTTCGGAGGATTCGCCCTTGGGTCGTACCCGAGCCTGGAGAGCATGGGAGCGATAGTGGCCATGTCCCGGACGACGTCTTCTGGAAAATGGCCTACCCATTTGGTCAGCGCTTCTATGTTGACCGGCTTGATGACTTGATCGGACGACCTCTCCACTCTGAGAAACAACAAATGAATGGATACCATAGATTGTTTTAGGCCAGACAAGTCTTACTTGGACAGAAGTACACCGCCGGGCTCGTTAATGTGGTCCTCGTGGTGCAACACGGCATCGTCCCATTCCACGTCCAAGAAGTTGAGGATTCTCCGTAGCCAAGCAGACGGGTGCAAGACGAGCTGTTCATAGTAAACAATCATACAACGGGACTTTCCCACCGACAGGCACTTATCGTACATCACTTTGATAGCGTCGTTCCACTTAGTCATGCACTGCCTGTAATCTGTCAAGTCGAACCCTGTTATAGTCACCTGAAAAACAAAAGGCATTTCTGAAATTATGGCTTCGTTTCCTTTATTATGGCTTCTAATAAGAAGACATCAAATGAACAATAACAATAATGAAACATAAAAACATGTTTTTGGATGAACGATAAGATGGGATAAGAGCGATGATAAATAAAATACAACCCAATGTCTCGTTTATGATTCATCCAGATGTCAATAAACTATTGGCTGGCATCATTGTTTCAACTAAATTCGTCTGAAATACCCTTTCCTAGTAAAGTTGATTCCAATTTAGGCATAGCACATCTGCATGCAACACCCTGAACGTATTGACGCCCCCACCATCAAGACGAATTCAATGGTCATTGGCCTTGAGAGGGCTGATAACAACTTGACAGTCGAATGTAGGAAATCTCCCTACATACTGATGACGTACCGATGAAATCAGGGCAACCTACGAGGGCGTAGTGCATATAATTAACTTCAGTAGATTCTTTGAAGCGGGTGGCGGATCTCAAAGGGAGAACGTACGGTGTTACGTCTGCGATTCAACACGGCACCAGAAGCCTAACTTCAGGGTTAATAGTATAGTCGTGGGCACCTGTAGCGTTTCATTTCTTTCGCTCTCTAGACCTTGGGGTGGAAAGTTCGCCCCGCTGTCAATTGTGGCCTTGAGATTACATAGCCTGCTGCTGTATGCGCAGGGGCTAGCTTTGCTTTACCAGTCAGCGTGCCCCGGCCAATATGCCCCCAACCTACGAACCAAACGATGCCAGACCAGTGAAAAAGAATGGACCACGCGGTAAGAAGAAGTTCAGAAGGAAGACGGATCAGACCAAGTGGAGACAGAGGTGATCCAACACGAAGATTGGAAAGATCTCGCTATACATAGAAAAAGTAGGTAGTTCTGTGTCTGTGTCCGCACTATAGGATTATTATGCGTTACTACACATAGTTTACAGCCCACTATCTTCAGGCTTTTTTATTAGCCTTCATAGTCCATTGGTCAAGAAACATTTTCCTTTTCATCCTTCTTTACATTATACTATTATACAGCGGTTTTCTCTTCTCGGTGGAACCTCGACATGTTTTAAGTGACTGCGTCGGCAAAGTTAGCAGGTTAATAGTCCTGAAATGTATGTGAGTTTGGTTCGGCTTTGAGAACTAGGTCCTTAGTAGTAAGTTTAGGCGAGAATAAACTCCATCAAGTCAGTATTAGTGCCTTACTATGATAAACAGATTGATTTAAAATATAAGTTAATGGGAGCAGGGGGTTGGAAGGTCACGGTCCCGGCCAAGGAGTCATCGGCCGTAACATACATCTCTCCCAAATTGGCCTTTTAGGGCACCTTGTCAGTATCGAGGGATCCCATGATAGGTGTGCAAGTGGTGCCACTTGTTTCTGATCCTGGGGTCATCTTATATACCTATCCAGGTCGAAAACCCTCCTCCCAGGCCAAGGCAAATACCAAAAATAGGACTGTTCTGTCATATCCCTAAAATAGTACTTACCTTTCTTGATATGATGGAATGGACTGTCGCTCGGCCATCCCTGACCATAAAAATGAATTTGGAGTTGGGAAAGAGCAAGGACAGGTAGTCGGCTGCTTTCAGTGTCAGTGGGTCTTTGTTGCAGAGCCTTTCAGCAGGCTCGCCGTGCCTGGCGATCACCTCCAAGCAAAACGCAGCGACTGCAGCGTCCAGGACCTGTTAAAAACACGACATATATAAGATAAATAAATGAAAAGGTTTCTTTTGTTAGTTCTTGGATTATCTGCTTCCAAGATATCGCACAACTCTGTGGTTCATTTCAACCGTTTCCCACAAATTTAAACAACAGTACAGGATAAAGAAGATGTACGGCACATTTCGATTGATGTGGAATATTCGAAGCATTGGATTTTCTTTCCAAAAAGTAATTTACACGGTTGCAATAATTTATTAAGCCTATCTGCTGAAACATCGCCAATTTTCCGAAGTTACCTCATTGTTAACGCCTGCTTCTTCCAACCGGAATGTCTCCTTTTTGGACTTAATCCAATGAGTCCTCATTTGCAGGATCCTAGGTATCACTCTTGTTTCTTGTCCGCATCTGAAAACCGGCGAGTTTTAACACTTTTAAATAAATAATTGTTAAAATCGGCACTCACCTGACTTCAGGATGGGCGTCGAGCATCGCCCTCATCAAAGTCGTGCCCGACCGAGGCACCCCGCCGATAAAGATGAGCGGCATGAGTCGGTCATAATGGTAAATCCGGTTGTTCTTGCCGACCATGAAGTTCTAAGGAATTAAGTCACTTTGAGTATGAGGAAACAAGTTTTGTTACCATGTCGGATTACCTCTTTGGACAACATGACTGATCCTGGGCCTGAGGAGTTGGAGCAATACTGCAGCTTGTAAGTGACGTAAAGGAAGAACAGCCCTACCGCCACCAGGATCAGCCATCTCCTCCCTCCTCGGTTCATCCTGCTGCTACCTTCATGCTTCACCTAGACAACAATAAATACATGTAAAAATATATTACAAATTACAGTCAACTGATAGCCTTTATAATTTTATAATGGAAGCCACCATGAAAACAAAGCTGCTGCAGATGAGCAATTTGTGATCAAATTTAAAATTAAAAACAAGGGTTAAGATAAAATTTTCTGAGTTGAAAATAAACAAATCATTCACCCTTAATTATGGGTACAAGAATTAATTGACTGGACAGATTTATCATAAAAATTATCAAATTTGACATAGCGGACTGTCATTTTTGTTCATATTTTATGAGTTTTAGGAAATAATGATTTATGATTAATTTAAATCAAACGGCTGCTAAATATTGGATAAAGATGAAACTTTCAGGGATGAAAATGAGAGAATATTTTTTCCTATTCACAGTTGAACAATTTCAGACCATATCAACAGAAATAAATAATTCAATTAACAGAAAATCAAACAAATCATCGATTAAAATAGATTTAAGGACCAACTATCGTGTAAAATGGGAGGAGAAATGATCTTTTATCGCTGAAAACTTAATGACAATTTTTGAGATGTGAAAAAATTCGTCTGATTTTTTTCCCAACGAATTAGCCACCAAAAAAACAAGCTTTCCGAAACAACACTTATCTGCATCGTAGATGACCAGTTTCACGTAAAATGTAGGTAAGAATTAAAGTTAAAAAATACTATAATCAAAATTAATTAAGGTTTTTAGTTGAGATAAAAAGGGAATGACACGAGCGGGATTCGAACCCACGATCTTTGGTGAGATACGCCGCTCCTCTACCACTTGAGCTATAGTGACCTCGACTAAGTTCTCATCTCAACCCCACCTTTTGAATTTTCCCTCGTTTTCGCATTTTTCAAATGTCGTGTAATCTAAATGTATCGTGGATTGTGAGCTTACTGAATTTGCAAAGTGTAGAGTTTCCAGTCAGCAGGAGTTCTTCTGTACAGGAATCTTGATGAGTGGATATTAATCTTTTTGAACATTGGTATACCTTGTGCTTGAAACAGCCTCCATTAAGAGTTATAATTTTATTATTTTTCGATTTTAACACATAATATGAATCTGATATTATAGTAACAAATTAATTTTAATATTTTCTTGGAATGGGATAAAAGTAAAATAATTCAAAAATTTCCTCAGAAAATATAGGCAGTTGGAGGAAATAAGTTACCCTAAGATCGGTATCGATCGTACAATGCATTCTTAACATATTTTCAAAATTTAATAAATTTCAAATTTTACTTCTAGTAAGAGGTGAGGTTTTAAATAATATTCTAATCGTTTTAATTCTTTAAATAAATTATGACTACTCATTATACTTGGGTGCATGATTTGTAATTTACAGAATGTTAAGGAATTTTCAATGTCCTGAAGAGTATTCAAGAGCAGTTCATATAGTATCTGAATTTGGTGAAATGCATCCTTGATTTCAATTATTTCTGCTTGGTATTTTATTTTCCGTCCTATTAAATTTATTTTGTATTCCAATTCTTCGCCATTTGTCTGAAGTGTTTGAATAGTTTCATTGAAATTTATAATTAATTCATTATTTACCGAGTACATGGATTTGATTTGATTTTCAATATTTATTTGGTTGTCTTTAATTTGATTGATAAGATTGTCAAAGTTTTCCTTGTCTGTGTTGTCCAGGTTTCCTGTAATAAATTTTATAACTGATCCAAGTCCATTAATAAGTCCTCGACGTTGTCGGTTGGTTCTGTGCACACTTATATGGTCAATTTTTTCGTCGATGAGTGATTTGGAATAGTTTATTAAGTTACGAAATGGTAGTGTTTCTTCTAGAATTGTTTTGTTTGATTTTATGTGTTTTGTGATTTTGAGATATTGGTTATTTAAAATGTCTACTTCAGAGATTAATTCTTTTAAGTCGTAATAATGGATCAAATGTGAGTTCCGAGGTTTCTAATCTTGCAATTCCTAAGCTAATCGGCAGAATTCCGTTATTGTGCGTCACGTCTTTTATCTCGTAGGCGAAGCTGGGTTTGAGCATCGCGAGGGTCCTGCAACATCACGTTTTTGTTGTTAAATTGATAAGGAAACAGTCTTGGACGTTTTATATTAGATAAATGAATATTCGGTTTCGTGTTATAATGAGATTTTTCTATTAGAGCTGTTTTTAAAATAGGGTTTTTGGATTTTATTTTTTCTCTTTTAAATCGTGGTCTCAACTTATTCTGTTTTGTTTGTTTTTGACATAAACTATGTCTGGTATTTCTGGTAATTCTGTTCTTGCCAAGTTTCTCTTACTAATAACATTTTCTTTGCTGGTCAAATTATTTTCATTAATTAATTGGTAAATGGTTTTTACTTTTTCTTTATGATTATTTATATAATTGTTAATCAATTGGGTTTCTAAATCTATATGCAGTGGTGATTCTCGTTCTATATGACCGTTAATAATTTCTATGGGTTTTAGTTTGGTGACGGAATGAATTGAGTTATTGTATGCTAAAATAGAAAAGTTAACTTTACTTTTAATTGTATTATTTTCAAAATTTGGATTATTGTTTAGGAGTCGGATGTGTTCGATTAGGGTTGAGTGGAAACGTTCGATCACTCCATTTGACTCGGGATTTTGTGATGAGATGAAGTGAGTTTCGATTTTGTGCAATTTTAGCAATTCCTTGACCAAGGAATTGTTAAATTCTTCTCCATTGTCGGCTATGATTTGTTTTGGGATGTCATGCCCACAAAAGAATTTTACTAGTGTGTTTACTACTTCTATGGCCTGTCCAGATTTTAGTTTATATGCTTCCGCATATTTAGAAAAGGGGTCAATGATTGTCAAAAATTTTGAGTTTTCTAGGGTGATGGTATCTACGTGAATTAATTCAAATGGTTTTGTGGGTGTTGGTGTAATATTGTATTTTAATTGCAGGGGGTGTCTATCGTATTTATTAGTTAAGCAATTTTCACATTGATTTATGTAAGTTTGAATCGACTTTCTTTTGTTTGGCCAGTAGTAGAGTTCTTTAATCCTATTGTGTACTTCGTCTACGCCTCTGTGGTTTGACTTTCCCAAATGATAGTTTTCTATTATTTCTCGAATTTCTTCTTCTGAGTCTACATCTATTAATTTTTTAGTGTATCTGCTGAAATCAATTTCAGAATGTTTGAAGTATTTGGAAAGTGTAGAGCAAAATGCTTCATAGTTTTCGTTTTCAAAGAATAGGCCATATTTAGTTTTTGGGATGATATATGTTTTTATGAACTGTATCAATCCTGGGGACTAAAACCGAAAATGGCCTATTGGCTATACACGGCAGTAATAAGACCCAGAATAACCTATGGATCACTAATCTGGTGGAACAAAGCTCCACAAAAAGTAGCTACCCAAACATTAGGCAGCTTACAAAGATTAGCAAACCTATGTATCACAGGGGCGATGAGAACAACCCCTACAAACGCATTAGAAACCTTGCTANGTTACAAGAACAAGTTTTAACCTAATTTAACGATGTACTCTCGTCAAGCTCTAGGCAAGGAATCGCTATTAAAAATACAGAATTAAATAAGTAGGTCTCTTGGGAGGGAGAAGGTGCTGACCACAATGCTAGGAATGATACCTGCATCTAAGCGTTGTAAAAAGATAATTTCACATAACTTATATATATATATATAAAATAACCTGAGTTATGTGTAAAATAGTCTTTTACGACCTGAGGTACCTTCGAGAGGTTAGCAATCTAAGAAAGCAGGAGACAAAATAATGACAGTCAGTGAGAAAACGCGCGAAAAAAGGAAGAATTTCCGTTTAAAGCGCAGAGGGCCGGCGATGACAACTTGATTTATGTAGGCCTATAAATAAGACATACATTCATGTATAACATAAAATAGTAGGGCGGTTTTTTTGTTATTTTATCCTTATTTTCCTCTCTTTTAATAGCTTGAATCAAACCCTTTTGACATAACCTGAAAGAAGAGAAATTTAAGTTTCTAACGGTCTTAATGATGTACATTTTGAATAAAATGCAAAGCATTATGCGTTTTTAAGTTCAAAAAAGAGAAAACCATTACCCCCAAAATCCAACTAAAAAGTGAGTCACTAACGTAACAGCTAAAACCGTCATCCACAAAGATATTTCCCAACATGAGAGAAGCAAATCTTGAATAGACATACAGAAAACACTAACAGTACACGCAGAAAAATCGATAAGTATAAAAACATTGAAATTAACTCCATTACAGTTCGTGGTCCGATTGACCAATTAACACTTTTCAATTAATTAATATTTATGAAAGGTATTGGTTGAGATAAAAAAGTCAGCGTCACGAGCGGGATTCGAACCCACGACCTTCGGCTAAATACGCCGCTGCTCTACCACTTGAGCTATCGAGATGTCGATCCACTCGGACACAAACTTCCCATCTCAACCCCACCTTTGAATTTTCCCTCCTTTTTGCCATTTTTCAAATGCGTAATCTATTTGATTCTCGGCGACAAATGAAATGGCCACGGAGAGCTTTCGTGAAGATATACTTCAGTTTAATTATTAAATCCATTACAGTCCGTGGGTTCGAATCCCGCTCGTCACACTGACTTTTTTACCTCAACCAATACCTTTCATAAATATTAATTTCATCGAAAAATTGAAATTAACAAAACTTGAAAAAACACAACATTTATTTTAAAAAATTCCTATCTAAAAACAAAAATGCGAAAGATTACCTGGCCGAATAATGAGGATTTTTAACCATAATTACCGGTGTGGATAAGTCTATAGCTGCTCTGAACCACTTAAGTTGGGCTAGTTTGTTCAAACTGCACCTACAGTCAAATCAAATCTGATCATTTAGGGGCTTTCCGCCCCTTGGAAATGAAACGAATTGTCTTTGTTACACGAAGTCATGCGCTGTTAATGGTCCGTTAAATGGAATCGTGTAATAACTCAGGTTCTAAACGTTTTTCCATCAATTATTATGAAATAAGTAGACGAAACAATTGACAAACGATTCCGCCCTATTGTCAAAAAGCCTGTAACTATAGCGATTACAAAAGGCTCAGTAATTAAAGATTAAACAGTATTATCATATCAAATGTGATTCTTAGGTAGAATTTGTCAGGGGCAACGTCTAAAATGTTATCTTCAGCGCAACATGAAAGAGAATCCCATATTTAAATTAAGCTGGGAAAATACCGACATACGTATACCGCTGGGTAGGTTTTTTTTATGATCTTCGTGATTACGTTTTCAGACATAAAGGAAAATAGAGGCAGTATAAATGATTAAAGGTTGTGAGCCAGAAAATTAAGCTTAAAATGTGATCCATGCAGAGTTATGTATATGCAGCCAAGGATGTAATAATTACTTAAAAAAATGATTTGTTGTTACAATCGATAATTTTCTCAATATATTAGATATTTTCTGCCACTTATTACGTTTCGGTTGTAATTTAACCTGTCAATTAGTCCTATTAAGCTCTTGAGAGTAATAAGTTGAATGCTTACTGCCCGCCAAGCTTTACGCGATAATGTGCACATTTTGTTCACCAATCTTGCTTGCTATTTTTCAAATATTGGCTCTTTTTATGTAATTTGCAGAATTATTTATACAGGTATAAACCGTCATAAATTCTTAACAAAATACATAGTATCAATATTTAATTAAAAAATAAATTGGGAGGTAACATTTCACGAGAAAGCTAATTTGAAAAATTCATTAGATTTCGTGGTCCGAGTGACAAAATAACGTTTTTCGATTAATTAATTGCATTTTTATCTCAACCAATACCTTACATAAAGATTAATTAATTGAAAAGAATTTATTTGATCAATCGGACCACGAAATCCAATGAATTTAATAAGTTTAATGAAGTATATTTTCACTAAAGCTCTCCGTGGCCATTTAATTTGTCGCCGAGAATCAAATAGACTAAACGACATTTGAAAAATGGCAAAAAAGAGAGAAAATACGAAAGGTTGAGTTGACATGAAAAGTTAGTATCCGAGTGGATCGAAGTCACGATAGCTCAAGTGGTAGAGCAGCGGCGTATCTAGCTGAAGACCGTGGGTTCGAATCCCGCTCGTTGACATTGACTTTTTTATCTCAACTAAAAACCTTAATTAATGTTACTACCATCCTTCAACTCCTTCCTGTTATGTACACCTAACCCTCCAGCTACACCTATATTTATTAGAACATTAGTTCAAAACATCATGCTCAACACAAAAAAAAATGATGGTGAAGTCTGCAAAACCAATACGTTTTATCTCAACCATAAAGATTAATTAATTGAAAAGAATTTATATGGTCGATCGGACCACGAAATCCAATGATTTTAATAAGTTACAATTAATTAAGGTTTTTAGTTGAGATAAAAAAGTCAATGGCACGATCGGGATTCGAACCCACGATCTTCGGCTAGATACGCCGCTGCTACTACCACTTGAGCTATCGTGACCTCGATCCACTCGGACACTAACTTCCCATCTCAACCCCACCTTTTGCATTTTCCCTCCTTTTTGCCATTTTTCTTTTTTTTATCTCAACTAAAAACCTTAATTAATTGTAATATATTAATTGGTCAAGCGGACCACGAAATTAGTGAATTTAAGAATTTAATAAGTTTAATGAAGTATATTTTCGCAAAACTCTCCGTGGCCATAATTTGTCGTCGAGAATCAAATAGATTACACGATATTTGAAAAATGGCAAAAAAAAAAAAGGAAAATTCGAAAGGTTGAGTTGACATGATAAGTAAGTGTCCGAGTGGATCGAGGTCTCGATAGCTCAAGTGGTAGAGCAGAGGCGTATTTAGCCGAAGGTCGTGGGTTCGAATCCCCCAACGCTGACTTTTTTTTATCTAAAACAATACTTTACATAAAGAATAATTAATTTGAAAAAGTTCATTCTTATTAAACGTGTCTTTGCTTTAATATAACTTATACATAAAAAGTTCATGAATACATAATAACACGAAGGTTATTAACCAAATGGGTACAACTTGGAACAAAATTTTAAAAAGTACTATTAAAATATAATAATTAAT